TCCAAATAAATAAATTGATTGAATCGCCTTTCAGTTCTGTCTTCTCATCAAAGATATCTGTAGACACTAATATTTGTATGACACCGAAGACTTCAGAGAAGTGGCAAAAGATTATATATAATTTAAACAGTGTACCTGCGACACCCTTGGAATTCCAACGCATCTTGGCCCAGAAAGTTGCTTAAGTCTTTAATCAGATTTAAGACTTAAATAATCTCCAACTGACATTTGTTTTCACTGGTCACTAAATTTATGTATTTCCAAAGATGGAAATTATTTTATTCTATTAACCTGAGCTTGTTTTTTTTTTTTCAAAATGAAGGACTTTGAATCATTTGTTTCTTCTCAATAAGTTTTGAGAAAGCCCCTAGTGTAAATCGAGGTCCCCCAATATCAATAAAATATTACAAAACTTCAGCTGGCGCTACAAAGAAATTCCCTCTATTTTTGAAGGAAATTTTTGGTTATTTTTTTTCATGGCCCATCTAGTTTAGATGGGGTTTATCTTTTGTGTGTGTGTTTACATTGATGAGAATTCATCTGTCCTCGTACTGTTTAAAACATGGCCAATTAGGTGTACCACTTTCCTTCTTTTGGGAAAATCTGTGATTTGAGCACATACTTCTGTTCCACATAATGGAAAAAAGCAGGATAGCTTATTTAAGCTGAAGAGAATTTGGAAAGGAGAATTTGCTTTCTGCAAATGAATTTAAAATAGGAATCTGAAGAAAGGTTTGCAATTTCTCCAGAATAATTATGAAACAGCCTTGCTAGCTTTCTCAGTAAAGTTGGAGAATTGAAAATGATGAATGAATTTAATAAATAACCTTACCAGCAGTTTGTCAGGAGCAGAAAATATCCCATTTTAAAAGAATAACTCATTTCTCACATCATCAGTGATGACAGCCTATGGATTGTGTCCACTGTTCCTAGGACTGTGACAAGTGATAACCATTCTTGTTTAAACTGTGGATAAAGCGGATTTTTAATTAGAGGTAAGTCAACAGACCAAATTAATATTTATTGCTTGCGGAATGCATTAACATTATTATGCTTTCAGGAAATAATTATTTTTACACATTAAAAGCATGGGGCCTTCAGGTTCTATCATATAAATCTTCATGACAGTTCCTGCCATATGGCCAAACTGTGAAACATGAACAATTTTAAATAGTTTAAATTAGTTTTGGGAAGCCTACATGTATATAAATAAGAAAGCTTTGGAACTTAATTGTATGGATTCTAAACATTCCACGTTCTTTTAAATGTATGGCTATAGGTTCCACTACTTACAGTTAACAATTCTTTGAAGTAGGCTAAATTGAACGAAAGGCTGCACTTCCAATGTTCTGGAGACTGAAGCTGCAGGAAATTATATGAAATATCATGTTTTCAAAAGATAAATACAAGAGATGGTGCAGTTACTTCTTCATGATCACCCTTGCTTTACATTACCTTTTATATATCAGGTAACTGGAGGAAAAAGGTTTAGAAACAGGTTAGAATATGCATCTCCTATTTATAATAGGTGTGAAACCTGGTCATCAGTTGTGTTAAGTCTGATTGATTGATTGGATTTATGGCTTAGTAGTGGTCTGTACCAAACTATTATGTTTTGGCATGACATACATAACATGGTACATATTCACATCATAACAGCTGAACTTCATTAAACAAACCATGGCTAAGTGAGAAATACTGCAGGAACTAAGTCAGTGGAAAGGACCTTCTAGAGACCATTAATTGAGCCTTTAAGGACAACTCCTGTTGCATTAGTAACATTGACTAAAGTGAAACAGCCTTCTCAACCAGCACTTCTGGAGTCATTAAAAAACAGTTTTAATTTTTTTTTAAATCTCTCATACCAAAATACATCTTTCAACTTTGGGTACGAGAGGGCTACCAGATCTGGGTTGCAAATATTTGGAAAATGGCTAAGTGGCAGCAAAGAGAGAGAAAACTCTAGGAATCATCTGATCTTTGCACTCCTATGTATGAGATCAAGGATAGTATTTTTGTTCACTTTGAGTCAGATTTGCTTCTTTATCTTTTATTACTGTACCAGTCCTTTTCTTAATCACGCCTTTCTCCTGCATCTTTAATCTTTTGAGCAATACAGTATCCTGGTTCTTGGTACACATTAATTTTATTCATTCATTCATTCATAGTGGACAACCAAGGCCTACCTGGAATGGGTTCGCTCTGGTGTCCAATTCCAGATGTCTCTCTGCCTGTGTATGCCTGTACATAAAGATTTCATTCCTGGGACTGTGCACTTGTTTTAATTGGGAAGAAGTGTTTCAGATATGCAGGAACACAGCAAGGCACTATTATTCATAACAGCAGCAGCCATTCTTTTGTTAAACTTTTTTCAGCCAACTGTCCAAAAGATGCAGCTGATTTCCAAATCTCATTCATTTAAAATAATGATTCTTTAAAGTCTTTGCAACATTTTTTTTCTTGCAGAAACCTATGAAAGGAGGGCTGTATTTTGACATAGCCAGGCATGGGAAACTGTGGAGGCTCTATTTAAAAAATGTTAATAAAACATCAGACTGTTACAAGTGAACTGGCAGCAACCTGTATCAACCATCAGTGCCAATAATATTTGTGATATATATTTTAAATGTTGTTGACTGAGTTTCATGTTTAATGAATAAAATAACAACAACAACAACAATTTTGAAAGCAAATATGCAAAAATGGAAAACAGTTCTAACAGCAAATGGGGAGAACATTGGTTAATCAACATCAAACGAGGAATCTTCCAGGGGGACTCTTTCACCACTACTGTTCAACATTGCATTAATTCCACTGACAATAATCCTACGAAACACAAAACTGGGATACCAAATCTCAAGCCAACATGGCAAGATAAACTATCTAGTATACATGGATGACTTAAAAATGTATGCGAAAAGCCCCACTGAACATAAATCAATATTCAACAGAGTTCAACTCTTCAGCAGCGACATCAAAATGAACTTTGGACTTGAAAAATGTGCTATATTATCCATGCAACGAGGAAAAATGGAAAAAATAGAAGGAATAGAACTGGGAAATGGAAGCATAGTGAAAGCATTAGCAAAGAATGACGGTTAAAAATACCTAGGCATAATGGAAGCAGATACATCTTGAATGAAAAAGTCAAAGAGTCAACGCAAAAGGAATATATCAGGAGGATCCGCAAAATATTAAAATCAAAGCCAAAACAAAGCCATTAATACATGGGCAGTTCCAGTGATATGCTACTCAGCTGGAATCATCAAATGGACTTTGGCTGAACTGGAAAACTTGGACCAGAAAATGCGCAAACTTTTGAATATGTACCATGCTTTACATCCACAAAGTGACATTGACAGGTTGTACCTGCCAAGAAGAATAGGGGGCAGAGAGCTATTGTAAATCCATCAAACTGTAGAAGAAGAAAAACGAAGTTTGAATGACTGTGAATCAAAGTACAGAAAAATTGCTACATGCGGTAAAAACAGAGAACATTATAAAAACAACAGAAACAAAGGCAGAATATAAGGAAAAACAGCTAGATGACAGATTAAATGGATGGAAAACCAAAGCTTTACATGGACAGCACTTGAAAAACATTGAAGGAAAATGTGATAACAATTTGACATGGGCAAGGTTTAATACTTACTGCTCAAGAACAAGCACTACAAACTAATGCTATGAAAGCGAAGATACAAAAATCCACTGACAATCCAAACTTCCGACTTTGCAACGACAAAGTTGAAACTGTTTCACATTTAATATGTGAGTGCAGCAAAGTCGCACAAACTGATTACGAAGTTAGACATGATTGAGTTGCTAAATTAATCCACTGGTTATTATGTAAAAAATACAATTTATCTGTATTCGAAAAGTCATGGGAACATAAAGTGGAAAAAGTTATTGGAAATAAGAAGGTGAAGATCTTGTGGGACTTTCAAATACAGACAGATCGTCATTTGGAACACAACACGCCAGATATCACAGTTGTTGAAAACCGAAGTGTACAATTTATTGGTATCGCTGTGCCAAAATCGAAGAAAAAGAACTGGAAAAAATCACAAAATATCGCAACCTGGCCATCAAAACTACACAATTATGGATAAAACATGTGGCAGTGATACCCATTGTCATCAGGGCACTTGGCACCATGTCCAAGAATTTTACAAAGTACATCAAGAAATTGCAGCTTCCTGCAATAACACCAGAGGAACTGCAAAAGACTGCGGTACTCTAAACAACATACATTTTAAGAAGATATTTGGTCATACCTACCCTGTTTCCCCCCTGCTAATAAGCCCAATCGGGCTTTTGAGCGCACGGCAATAAGGCCAAGCGCTTATTTCAGGGTTCAAAAAAATATAAGACAGGGTCTTATTTTTGGGGAAACACGGTAGGATGCTGGCAGCAAATGGTATCAACCATCAAAGCCAGTCAATGATATTCGTGATACATTTTTAAATGTTCAGTTGACTGAGTTTCATGTTTAATGAATAAAGTATATAATAATAATAATAAATTTTAAAAAACTTGAACGTTGGCGAAGCTCCTTCGGACTGTGAATCCCTAAATTGGAGGCCCTTAAATTCTAGGCAGCTGCTTCAACGAGCAGCAGAAGGGTGGCTTGTATTCTCAAGAAAAACAGAAGCGGTTTTCTTTCCCCAATAATTTGGAAGAAACTAATATTACTCCTTGGGCACTTAATCCCTCCTTCACTTTTGAGCTGTCGTGACATTCCGAATAGCTAAAGCGGCGACTGGCGATTACCAAGCACTCCCCCACCCCAGAGGAACAAGCAAGTCCCAAGAACTTTTACGCGGGCGGGCCGGGAAGAGCAAAGCGTATATATTAAAAAAAAAAAGCGCCTGCGCGTTCCCCCACACCGTTGGTTTCTGAGAGCTGCAAGCGCAGGGAGGGAGCTAGCGCCGCCCGCAAGTTACTGCTGGCGGCTGCTTGATGCCTATTTTAGTCAAAACCTCCGCTCCGTGGAGGGCGAGCACGCTTCCCTTCATGGTTCCTCTAGCAGGCGCAGCGGAGCCACAGGGCGCTCCCGTTAAGGACCTTTGAGTATAACACTCTGGAAAAGGCGCCTGGCAGCGGCGACGCAGACAGGTAAGGTTGGGACTAGGAGGAGCGAAGCAGGTAGGAGAAAATTCTGGGGCAGCCAGAAGAAGCTGCAGGTCTGATCAGTTTTGATAGGCAGCTGGGAAGACGCGCAGGGCTGGGCGACATTTTCCGCAACCCGGTCTACTCACGAGCCGCCCTTAGGCGGTGGAGTGGGGAGTGGGGGGGAGGTTCCGGTGCAAATCTAGTCCGGGTGAATTAGTTTGGGATACTTACATGCTTTAACATGGGCGCGCTGCTTCCCCAGAGCCTGACACTTTGTTAGCCTCGCCCGTTGGGTGCCTCCAAGTCCTGCCTATCTCCCGCCTTAGGCTACCCTTGGCACCTGCCCTCTGTACCGTCCTCGTTGGATTCTCACGTCGGGACTTGGAGAAAAGAACTGCAGAGACTCGCGCTAATAACCCGTGGGGTGACTGGAGTTGTGGCTGGAGTTCAGTTTGCGGGAGCTCAAAAAATAATAATAATAAAAAGCGCCTTCATGCAAAAGCACCCCAAAGCACATTACAGAGGATTCTTAGGGTTCTCATCTGCTTTTAAACTTAGATACCTTACCTGTCATCCCCGGGTGGGGTGGGGGGTGGAGTCTAATTGCAAAAAGCAATATAATAATACTGTCCTCATTGTTTTGAATGGTACCTTGAAGAGGGGAAGGGGTGAGCATGGTCAGGTAATCCCTGTGCCACTATCTTTGAATGAGTCTTTATATCTGAAACAGAAGGCAAAGCAAATCAAAACCTTGCCCAGGTCTGGCTCAGTATGTGCAGACAACTAGTCCTCATTGTTCAGCACAAGCGTTACTTTAAAGCTGAAGTAATTTTCTGAGAGGAAGAAAAAGTACAGCCTTGTACAATCTCCATCCATGTTGGGAGAGGCTTGAATATTGTGTATGTTTTATGTGTTTGCAGCATGATGAAAACTTACAATTAATTGGCAGTCCACTTATGGCCAGATATGACCCTCCCCAGCCCTTCCAATTATAGTGCCCCCCTCCAAGATTCCTGAAGTTGCTGTCTAAGAGGAATATGATGTCTTTCCCTGTTATCCTGTTTTGTTGCTCATGTGGGCAATGTGTTTGAAACATCAAATTTAATAGCAAGTAAATATACTATGTTTAATGGTGTAAATATATTTCAAGTAATATTCCTTTGCCTAGGGTCTAGAATTAATATTGTAAAATAATATATTTGAGAGAGCTGTTTTGGCATGATGGTTAGGGCACCAGGCTGAGCCTGTAAGACTGTAGTCCTGCTTTAGGCATGTAAGAGGTTGACCTTGGGCTACAGACAATGGCAACCTCCTCCTGAAAGTATTGTCAAGAAAACTGCATGCTAACTTGAAAATGCACACGCACACATATATGCACTAAATCTTTTTTTAACCAAACATACATTAAAATGCACATTAAATGCCTACACACAAATACCCACATATCATACAATTTTAGCAAAATCTTGGACAATGTTGAATCATACATCAAAAAAGGGTAAAATGTAGATTGCTTTTTTACTATAGAATTATTGAGTTCTTCATAGAGACATTCACTTTGAACAACCAAGATCCCACTGATATAAAACAGATTATCATATCCAGTGGATATTTTTCTAACTGCCTGTATATCTGTGAAATTGGAGATCAATATTTCATGATGCTGGAAATTCGCATATTATCTCTCTCTCTCTTTGCTTCACTTTCAGAGCAACACCTTAAAATAAAACTAAAATAAAAATTAAAAAATAAATCTACTTGCATGTAGCAAATATATTTAAGGCACTAAACATAAAAATTATTACTGCGTGGTTTTAAAGATCTGGTTCAATCAATGAATGATGTATCATGAATCCAGACATAGTGTGAAGTAAGTTATGCTGTGTTTGTTTGTTTTTCTGGACAAAAGGGCTGAAGCAGAAGCGCACAGAATATGTGTGGAATGACTTCTGAGGTTGTTGGTTCTTCCTTTATAATAGTCTCAGGGAGCTTTGCAATTGTCTAGCAACTTCATTGAGTAAGTTTAACTTTCTTCTGTAAGCCATTTTCTTGATTAAAATTACCCTTTTTTAGTTTCCGTTTAAAAATAGCACCCTACGCATGTAGAGAAAGGTTAAATATATTTTCTACCCTCAGCCTATGGTTATGGTCCATTCAGAATTTTTCCAACTCTTCAAAGAATTGTTGTGAAGTTCATACTTTTTTCCAACTGAAGTTGTTGTCCATCAAAAACCATCAATCTGCATTATGTATCAAAAATTACCATGATGAAATGCAGACAGCAGATGTGTTGCATTCTGCTAGTATAACTTGAGTATAAATCACATACGCGTGTGTGTGGACGCACAAACTAAAGAACTGTTGAGAGAATCACTATCAAATTTATTGCATATAGAAAAAATATCTAAGTTTTGACTATCATGGACTAGATGTATATTGAATCCCTTTGCTGATATTCATAAGCGGACAGTTTTCTGAAGAGTCAAATGCATAACCTACAATTATATTTAAAAATTAAATAATTTTTTGTTGCCCTTAAAACTTGGCTGTTAAAATATTGTGTACTCTTTTGCTTCTTATCTTCTATTCAGCATTGCATTAGGTACTATATTTAGTAGTGCTGCTTAATGTCACAGCTACATGGCAGTTGGATAGGTGTGGGGGAGATAAGCGGAACTCTAACTTTATTTTAAGTATTCTCTGCTAACAGTTACTTGAGTGCCAAAACTATACCCATTACTTTGTTGAACACACTTTATGTATGCAGAATGACATAGATAAGAGCATACAGTTCATCGTGATTGAGTTAATTCTGATAAATACAAGGACTGCTTTTCTTTTTTAAAAAAATATTAAGCGAACATTTGACATGTTCCATGTATAACTTTTCAAGCTCTTGAGATGTGTCCCCATTCAATCCTTTTGCAAAAAGATGAATATTCAGTCACACTGCAAGTGCAACCTATGTTTCTTTTTAACAGGCTAGTTCAAGATGAACTTCATCGAAGCCAGTTCAATTACCGCAGCCCCATTGAACTTTAACCTGGACTTCAGAAATGCCACCTCTGTGCCTTTGAATGAAACTGTATGTGAAAATTGGAGAGAGATCCATCACTTGGTTTTTCATATGGCCAATATTTGTTTTGCAGTTGGGTTGGTTATTCCAACTACTTTTAATCTCCATATGATTGTTTTACGAGCTATGTTGACAATGGGTAAGCAAAGCTATATTAGACTTAAATGTTGCAGCCTTGAGAATCTATTGTAATGAGAATCCACTATAACATATTTGTAAAACTTATTTCTCTATTCCTGCTGCTTGATTTTGTTTGATTTTGGGAGGGCGGGAGGGCTTTGGAATATGTGTGGAAAACCAATCCATAAAAACTTTAAAAAATAAATGAAAAATATTTCATTTTCTGACTGTGCTTTGAGACAAATGTGGGTGATATTTTTCTGTAATGCTATAACTTTCATTCTTTTCCTGGCATAGTCTTCATTGTTCTTACTATTATTAGTCTTTTCTTGGTAGATAGTTATATGGAAGATAAAAAGTTTGAACACAATATTCTACTATACTTAGTTTTCTGGATTAGGGATGGCAGAGTTGCATGCCTAATAATTTTACATTTTTATTTTTGGCAGGGTGTGTACTTTTTATCATCTGGGCAGCCCTTTTTCGTTGTGCTGTGGATATGGTAATCTGGAATGCGGTATTCCTTGTTGTCAATCTTCTGCATTTTATATACTTGCTGTACAAGAGGAGGCCGGTACGTTCACCACCGCTAAAGCAATGATAGATGCATAAAGAAGTTATTTAAAAGAATGGGGCTTTGCTTCTAAATGGGCTTGTTCAGCGAATGTATTGATATATATACTTACTACACCACAAGGTATTTTTGCTTTCTATTTTTTATCACTGCCAAAAAAAGTGTAAGAGGTTATTAATCTTTATTAATAACTGTGCTTTTAGTACTTAACCCTTCAGGCTTTCATTTACATAGCTGTAGTCCTAGTGCAAGATTAATATAACATGTACAACTATTGAGTGCCAAGAGTGTTGCATTTGTAATTTAATTATACCATGTTGTTTTGTTTGCTTTTAATCTTCTTGAGGGCTCCTAAGCCACTTATAGTTCTTTGGGAATGGAGCAGCATATAAATCCTAATAAGTAAGTAAGAATAAACATTCAGGATTTCAGCTGAGTACTATATTGTATCATTTTAACGTTATTATATATTATTTATTCTAAGTAAATAACTTGGTTATATTTTGAACTTATTGTTTTATCTTTCTTTATCTTTATTTGATTTGTATACCGCCCTACTCCTGAAGGACTCAGGGCGGTGAACAGCCAAACAGTAAAATACATAAATACAAAATTTAAAAAACAAGATAAAATCGAATTAAACAATTTGGCCCAGACAAATTAAAACACCCCAATCATTTAAAAAACAGATTAAAATTTGCATATTAAAAAGAAAAGAGGGAAAAGATTAGGCCAGGCCCGCCTGGTGGAATAAAAAGGTCTTCAAAGCGCGGTGGAAGGTGCGCAGATCCAGGATCCTCCGTATCTCTGGGGGGAGCTCATTCCAGATAGTAGGTGCCCCCACAGAGAAGGCTCTCCCTCTAGGGGCCGCCAGTCGACATTGTTTGGCTGACAGCACCCGGAGGAGCCCCTCTCTATGAAAGCGTACCGGCCGGTGGGAGGCTATTGGTGGTAGTAGGTGGTCCCATAGGTAACCAGGTCCTAAGCCATGGAGTGCTCTAAAGGTGGTAACCAAAACCTTAAAGCGCACCCGGAAGACCACCGGGAGCCAGTGCAGCTTGCGCAGGAGAGGTGTTACATGGGAAGCCATGTCGCTCCCATTACCACCTGCACGGCCGCACTCTGCCCCAGTTGGAGCCTCCGGGTGCTCCTCAAGGGGAGCCCCATGTAGAGAGCGTTACAATAGTCCAGGCGGGAAGTGACGAGGGCATGAATGACCGTGTGTAAGGAGTCCCAATCCAGAAAGGGACGCAACTGGCGAATCAGGCGAACCTGATGAAAAATCCTCCCGGTCACGGCCGGCAAATACTCTTCTAAAGACAGCCCTGAATCCAGGAGGACGCCCAAGTTGCGAGCCCTCTCCGTGGGGGCCAATGATTCGCCCCCAATAGTCAGTGATGGTGCCAACTGACTATATCGGGACGTCGGAAACCACAGCCACTCGGTCTTGGACGGGTTGAGCCTGAGCCTATTCCTCCCCATCCAGAACCGCACGGCCTCCAGGTACTGGGACATCACTTCAAGGGCATCGTTGGGGTGATCCGGGGTGGAGATGTATAGCTGGGTGTCATCAACATACTGGTGATACTTCACCCCGAAATCACGGATGATCTCGCCCAGCGGCTTCACATAAATGTTGAACAGGAGAGGCAAGAGGACCGACCCTTGCGGCACCCTACATATGAGGGGCCTCGGGGTCGAACTCTGCCCCCCTGTCAACACACTGCGACCAGTCAGAGAGAAAGGAGGAGAACCACCGCAACACAGTGCCTCCCACCCCTAACTCTTCCAACTGGTGCAGCATGATACCATGGTCGATGGTATCAAAAGCCGCTGAGAGGTCTAACAGGACCAGGACAGAGGAGCACCCCCTGTCCCGAGCCCTCCGGAGATCATCTACCAACGTGACCAATGCCGTTTCCATGCTGTACCTGGTCCTGAAGCCCGACTGGAACAGATCCAGATACGTCGTTTCATCCAGGTGCTGGGGGAGCTGTTGCGCAACCACACTCTCAACAATCTTCGCCACAAAGCGAAGGTTGGAGACCGGACTATAATTAACCAACATTGCCGGGTCCAGGGAAGGCTTCTTGAGGAGAGGCTTTACCACCGCCTCTTTCAAGGCGGCAGGAAAGTCACGCTCACCCAACGAAGCATTTATAATCCCCTAGAGCCAGCCTCGTGTCACCTCCTGGGAAGCCAGCACTAACCAGGAAGGACATGGGTCCAATAAACAAGTGGTCGCGTTCAGTCTGCCCAGAATCCTGTCCACGTCCTCAGGGGTCACAGGATCAAACTCATCCCAGATAACATTCTCAAGACCTGCCCCAGTCCCTCCCCCTGAGACTACCCAGTCGGAGTCCAGATCTTCCTGAATTTGAGTGATTTTGTCATACAGATACTGAACAAAATCCTCGGCTCTACCCTCCAAGGGGTCCTCCGGCGCTTCCTGGTGGAGCAGGGAGCAGGTCACCCTAAACAGGGCGGCCGGGCAGTTATCTGATGATGCAATAAGAGCAGCAAAATAACTACATTTCGCTGCTTTTATTGCCACTAGGTAATTCCTAATATGAGATCTTACCAGTGTCCGTTCCGATTCAGAAAGACTGGCCCTCCAACTACTCTCTAGGCGTCTTTTCTGGCGCTTCAACTCCCTCAGCTCCTCGGTGAACCAAGGAGCCAAATGAGATCGGTGCCGGGTCAGAGCCCGCAAAGGCACGACCCAGTCCAGAGCTCCAGCGGCCGCCCTATCCCAGGCGGCCACTAGGTCTCCAGTCGAGGTGTGTGCCAGAGCCTCAGGAAATGGCCCAAGCTCCATCTGGAACCTATCAGGTTCCATCAGGTGCCTGGGGCGGAACCATCTTACCAGCTCCGCCTCCCTGCGGCGGGGTGCACCGGTTCGAAGGTCGAGACGAAGGAGAGAGTGATCAGACCATGACAAGGGCTCGGTAACTATATCCCCTATCTCAAGATCACTCAACCACTGTCCAGAGACAAAAACCAGATCCAGCGTGTTAACCCCCGTGTAGGTAGGACCATGAATTAATTGGGTCAGGTCCATAGCTGTCATGGAAGCCATGAACTCCCGAGCCACCTCAGACGCCTCGCCCACGGACGGTAGGTTGAAATCTCCCATGACCATAAGCCTAGGGGTATCAACCGCCACTGCGGCGATGACGTTGAGTAGCTTGGGCAGGGCTGCTGCCACGTGGCAAGGAGCTAGGTACGTGATCAGCAAACCCATCTGAACCCCGTGGTCCCATTTCACAAGGAGGGATTCACAGCCGGCCGTCTGAGGAACAGTGGCCTCCCTCGGTCTCAGACCTTCTTTAATGATAACCGCTACCCCCCCCCTGCCCCTCCCCTGTGACCTCGGCTGATGGAATGCATGGAAACCTGGTGGGTACATTTCAACGAGGGGAACCCCCCGCTCCTGGCCCAACCAGGTCTCCGTAATACCTGCCATGTATTAAATGTTTTAATGTATACATGGCACGTATTACCTGCCATGTATTAAATGTCCAAATGTTTTGGACAACATTTGTTATTATGGCATTGTTTGGTATGGACTGTGCATCTATAAATGTTTTTATTAATTACTACTGCTAATAATAATAATAGTATTATCATATATCCAATAATAATATTTTTAATAACAGCATTATTATACTTTGGTTCTATTTTCAGCATAATTCATAATTCTCAGTAGGGTACAATTTGTTCCTCTTCCTTCTGTTCTTCCTCTTCTTCCTCATTGTGTGTCCACTGCAATGAAGGTTTTCTTTTCATTGTTTATAATACTTATTTCGGCCTCCCACTGAGGTGGAGTGAAGGTCATGACCATTGAAGGTCATGCTATTAAAGTTTCATAAAAATAGGGAATAAATTATTTTCAGGAGAAGTATGTTTACAAATTTCTCTAGTATATTTCATATTTGGCCAGCAAAAAGTCATCTCTGTTTACTTTACCAGAATGTCTTGTATACATTGATTAATAGGTGGAAAATATTCTTTACTTGTATCTTTATTTTATCTTTGTATTAAAATATTTCATCATGTATAGTGTTGAAGTAGTACATTTTTAAAATACATAGACTTTTTTGACAAACAAGTATATAAATAAATTTTATACATATATAAACTGTGTGCATAATTATTAGGCAAGCTGTATTTTGGAGGATTAATTTTATTATTGAACAACTACAGTGCTCTTAGTCAATCCAAAATATTAATAAACCTCAAACCTGAATATTCAAAAAAGTAAAAGTGAGGTTATGGCTTTCTTGGAAGAATATCTATGTGTGCACGATTATTGGGCAACTATTAGTATGCAGAATTATTATGCAACTAAATGAAAAATGAAAAGTTTCCCATCTTACTCATTTATTTTCATCTGTTAAAGTGAGAATAATAAACAAACAATTCAAAATTTACAAATAAACATTTCTGACAGTTCAAAAAAAAAATCAGTAACCAATATAGCCACCCTTCTTTTCAATAACAGTCATAAGTCTTCCATTCATGGAGTCTGTCAGTTTCTTGATCTGTTGATGATCAACTTTTTGTGCAGTAGCAACCACAGCCTCCCAGACACTGGTCAGAGAAGTGTACTGTTTTCCTTCACCGTAAATCTCTCATTGAAGAAGGGCCAACAAGTTCTCAGTAGGGTTTAGGTCAGGTGAGGAAGGGGGGCGTGTCATTATTCTTTCATCTTTAAGGCCTTTTCTGGCTAGCCATGCAGTGGAGTACTTAGATGCATGTGATAGAGCATTCTTCTGCATAAAAATCATGGTCTTCTTGAAAGACACCAACTTTTTCCTGTACCACTGCTTGAAGAAAGTGTCTTCTAAAAACTGGCAGTAGGTGGGAGTTGATTCTGAGTCTATCTTCAACCCAAAAAGGTCCAATTAGCTCATCTTTCATAATAACAGTCCATACCAGTATCCCACCTCCACCTTGCTGGCGTCTGAGTTGAAGTGGAGCTCTGTGCCCATTACTGA